TGGGGCACAGTGTGCATGTTGCATGATTTGTAGCCGCACCAAAGCGTGAAACTGTAATGCTTCCTCTATGAAAAATTGCTGTTTGTATGTGGCGCTATAAAAGGTACATGAGAGGACAATGTGTCATGTCTTCCAAAATATGCCTCAATTTGATGGAGAAAAAAAAATTCATGAATTCATCAAACTCTTTGTGCTTTTCAACAATCACAGTGTGCATGACGTACAGAGAGTGAGAGGACGAGGAAAAAGGAGTCTGAACTCTCAGAGTGAAGCATACTATAAAAACAATCATGCCTAGTCTCAGAACTTCCTCCTAATCTATTTAAACAAAAGAAAAAAACGTGTACATAAATGCCGCCGCAACTTAGTACTTGGTAAAAGCACTTTTGTAACATGAACAGCCCCCCAAAAGAACAAAAACAAAATAATATTCTTGGGAACGGTCCTATAACCTCGGCCCACGTTCCTTTTCCAAGTGTCTCCTATTCCTGGAAGCATTGCACAAGCACCGCCATTTTTTCCTCTAAAAATCCTGCCTAAAAACATCATTCCCAAAGCGTAATGATGCACTCAATCTGTGTCACTGTAAGGATAGTATTATGGGGTTTTTTGTGGAATGGTATTACCTAAGATTACATTATCTATGTTTTGTTTCACTTTAATGAAGTATGACTCACAAACACAAAATCTGAAATGTGGCATGAGTTCAATCTTTATGTTGTGTGAAAGACGAATTTGCTGGCATTTGCCTTTCATTGAGGAATCATGCTCGTGTGACTACTATACCATAAAGGCTTGAATGGTGGAATGCTCTAGCCAATGGTTGTCATCCAATACATTTTTCATCCATATTCATCCATAAAGGAACTTTGGATTAATATTCAGTGGCCACTGGGGCTTTGGTTGTTTTTGGTAGTGGTGATTGCTTCCTTCATTTAAAAATGAATGAGCCTACTGTGCCTTAGGATAATTAAATACTGCAAAAATGTATTTCTATCCTTGCCCAGATCTGTGCCTAGAGATAATCTAATCTTGCAGGTCTCTCAACGTAATGGATTGCTTTTCACTTACATAAACCATTAAACTGAGGTTTTCCATAACAAGGTGTGCCTTTCCCAATTCTGTCCAATGAATTCACTTAGGCGCACGTCTTCTTCAATCCAGTTTAAGAAATACTTAAAGACCATATGTGTTAAAGTGTAAAAATGCTTCTGTAATTGGAATTTCTGCCATTTTCAAATAAAACATTTGTAGCAAAGAATTGATTAAGGAGTCTGTAATAATCCAAAATGTGGAAACCTTAAGCGGGCCTAACACTTTTCAAATGCACTGTATGGATAAACATTCTGTGACAAGAACCTAAAATTCTGGTACCTCAAAGAGCAGCGTGAGCAGCAGAATTCGTGTTGCCAGCTTGGAGGCCTGGGGCAGTGTGGCCATCTGCCTGGTCCACTCAGACACCGTCTTTGTGTCACTGGTAGTCAGCGGCTCAGCTGCTTTGATCAGCACGTCTGCTGCCTCCCACACCTACACACAACATGTCAACAATCAGGCTTATACAAGTGTACAAATGGCTATTGTTAGGGTCACTATGACGATTAACTTTTCTTTTTTTTCTTTTTTTAAAGGAAGTGACGACAATCCCATCTTTCAAATGTACAGAGGTGCTTAGGAACTGCATTACTGCCTTATCTGCATTCAAAATGTACTAACAACATTCCACCTGAGAAGGTTCAAAGTAAGAGACTCGCCTGCCTTTTTTAAGTCCATGAAAAACCTGCATTTTAAATTTAAATAAACTTGTAGAGCAGGCTACAGTATTAACATCTACTGACCTGTTGGACAACTTGGCCAAGGATGAGATCCCTGTATTCAGGGCCACTTCTCTTTATGGCAGTCATTAGCAGGTCGCACAGTCGGTAGACTGTGTCAGGTAGCTCATCCAAAAGATGGAAGCAGCCAGGCAGCATGGTGTCAGTGAAGGCATGTAGCTCCTGGGGGTCCAGTGGCTCAGCCTCCATGAAGCGCTCCAAGCATCGTGCCTCTTCCTCTTCTGCCCGTTCCCTGGCTCTTCTGTCCTCCTCCTCTCGCCGTCGTGCTGCTTCCTAAAGGAGACACACCAACGATCAACAGTTATTTAGCTAAACAGTAAATTAATCTTTCATTCAGTTTCAATTAGCAAAAAATGTTTTACACTACGCTTTTTTCTTGAAAAAAGAAACACACCTCAGGAGAGTCGGAGCGCTGCTCCATGCTAACCTCTTGCCCGAGTGACATGGCAATTGCTCTCATCATCTGGTCTTCTTCGGACATAGTTAGATCCTAGATGGAATAAGAGCAACAATGTTAGCTACCCAAGTCTCTTTCAAACATTGTAAAGGACTAAAGTACTGTGTCTGTGTGTTTTTGTGTATAAAGCTTACTCTTACTGCTCCACCAAGAAGTGGAGGAGGATGTGTAAGGAGGTACTCGGTGGCCTGCTCCATGGTGCTGGTGTTCAGTAGAGCCTCCATGGCATGTTCTCTTGAGAAACCCATATCCATCAGCTGGAACACCACACGACAGAAAGACACAGAGAGAGACGAGGTTGTGAAAAAAAGAAACTACGAAAGGACGTTACATAACAACGTCACATAAGTGAGTGATAGCAAACTAGTTTGCATGCTGAAGGGGGAAAAAAGTCATGTAAGTCATTCTTTCTGAAACATGACAGAGGCCTCTATAAATTACTACTCTAATCTCTCTCAAACCCCCAACCAAACCTTGTCCCAACACTATTATTATAACACTGAAATTTGTCTCTCAAGTCCTTATTTTTTTCTTCAATATGACTCTTTCCTTTATTTCCTTACTCTCTCCGAGTTGTTTCTCAATTTCTCCCTTTCTCTGGCTGCAGGGTGGTGGTGGTGGTGTAACATATCCTAAACCCAGAATCATCGGCATCTAGATATAAAATTACGCAGTTAACCTGTACTCTCACATCTACCTGCAGCAGTAGCATAACAAGCTAAAAAAAATATTGCTGCTGGAATAATGTTATATAATGAAATAATGTTACATCAGACAACTTATGAAAAACAAACTAACCAAAAAAATATCTGTCACTACAGTGAGAAGCTCCACATATTTTGAGTTGGTAGATTTTTACACCAAATGCCGTTCCTGAGGCAGTCTCCCAAACTGTGACTAAAATCAGGTGAGAAAGATCAATTTGCCACAGCTTTCCCTACATACCTGTGTTAGCTGAGCCTGGTTAACTTGGGGCTCGCGGCGAGGCGTAGAATTGGTAGAATCATCAGCTGGTCCTCCTGTTGGCCCTCCAGAAGTTGATCCACTCACTGGCGGTGCCTCTCCACTTGATGAAGATGCTCCTGGAGCCGTGCCAGGTACCAACGAACCGGCAGGGGTTCCCTCATCATCTGGGCGCACTGTTCCCTCCCTCTCTTTTGCCAGGCGCTCCTGAATAACAGGCTCTCCTCTTAGTATGTGGCAGAGAATAGCCAACATGGATTCAGCCATCCTACCCCCATACACTTTCAGTGGCTTCCGATTCCACAGATTGCGAATGCAGCTGAATGCAGCCTTTATGAAAGAGAAACTGTGTTACAATCATAAAACACCAACAGAATCCTTAGATTAATACAAACAAAAAAAAAAACTACCATATTTAAAGCCTACAAAAAAATACAGTATAAAGAATTTCTAGGGGGCATGAAGATCATGGACATTTGTTGCAATCCTTTTCATTTTTCTCCGCACAGTACTAAAAATGCAGAAATACAACTGAGCAACTGTTTTTGAAAACACAGGGATAAATGCTCATCTCTTCCATCTTTTCAAAAGACAAAATCTCTTAGAAATCACGTAGAAATTGGTTATTTTAGTTAATACTGACCTTCTGGGTGACAATAAGGAACCTTAGGGCACTGAACTGTGGCATGGTGGGTGTAACTCCAGGCATTTTAGCTGGCAAGGAATGGGGTGAGTCCAGCACAGTGCTTGGATTCACCATCTTCTCCACCAGCATTAACCAGGCATCCAGGAACTCCCCTGTCCCATCTGGTAGATCAGCATGCTCCAGACCCTCAGATACAGGTACCTTTCCTCCCATTGACAGTGCCCAGTTAAATGTCCTGTTAAAAAAAACAAAAAAACAAAAACAAAACTCAACCAATTAAACTAAGTAAATGTCAAAATAATGTTTTTGGGGGATGGGCAAAAAAATGTCTGTAATTATTGAAAAAATTAAACATGAGTGACAGTGACAGTATTGGTTAGCACCATCACCTGACAGCAAAGTTTTGGATTCAAATTCATTGGCCATCTAAGGCCTTTCTACATAAACTTGCATGTTCTCCCTGTACCTGTGTCGGTTCTCTCTGGGTACGCTGGCTTCCTCCCATAGTCCAAAGACATGGACATTAGGTTAACTGCCGATACTGAACTGGCTGTAGCTGTGAATCTAAGTGTGAATGAGTGTCTGTTTCTCCATTAGCCCTGCGATAGAGTGCTTAACTGTCCACAGTGCATTCTGCCTCTCGCATTACGACAACTGATTCAGCCCCCTGGAACCCTAAATTGGACAAGCGGTTAAGAAAAATGGATGTGGGGATAGATCACGAAACTAGGATTACATTTTAATGAAGGTGTATGGTCTTAACTGAAGTAAAGCTTTATCTGCATAATTAGCGACCAGGTCAGTGAGAAGGAATGTCAAGTAGAACGTAAAGTAGCAGAGGCCAAATGTCTTTAGAAAGTTTAAAAAAAATGAATGCATAATTTTAGAGATGAAGAAAACCTGCGTCACAAATGGCGGGAGACAACCATTTATTTCAAGAATTCTATGAGAATTTTCAAAAACACCTGTGTGTCTAGTCTCCCCATTTCCAGCACAGTACATAAAAACAAAGATGGCAGAGAGCAGTCATATCAGGCATACTAAGTCCAAAAGTAAGATGAATTTCTGAGTTGTATGTAACTCTACCAAAGTCACACCATTTGAGTTTATGCCCATATGAATAAAGGCCTGCTGGCTGCAGCTACGCGGTGGTCTTTTAACACACAAAAGTCACCCACTTCCATAAACAGCAGTCCTACAAACAACGAGGTACTCGTGTTCTTTAAAGAAAAGGCCCAGACTTGTGACAACAATTTCACTGCATGTTAAAATAAGCTTCTCATCACAAACAACATAACATTTCTATTTTTGCCCATATTTGTGCTCTACAACTTGATTGCACCATACAATATGACTCACTCAAATAAGGCATCGTGTCCTCCAGAGCAAAAGAACTTTTGCAGCATAAGGTGGTAAGGGTACTTCCTTTCATCAAACAACATAGGAGATGTGAAACCCACTGAGCAGATGAAAAAAGTCAACCTGCCAGGGAAAGAAAAAAAAAAGTATTGTTCAATATCATTGCTTGTGATAAGCACATAACAGCAAAAGAGGTGGCAGTGCCAAATTCCTCTTACCTAAAGCGAGGGGTGGGTGTGTAGGGTGGAGGCTGCCAACTTAGACCCTTGGTGAGCAGCTTGGTGAGAGCAGAAGCAGTGGCCCTGGCAGCAGGTGTTGGGGTAGTGCCTGTACTTGTGGCATGGTGGGAGCGACGTTGGCGCACTGGGGAGCCCACGCACAGTTTTACTAGCAAGCCAAAGAGCTCGGCCAGAGCCCTACCTAACCGAGATGAAGCTGCAAAGACACGTGGATAGGTAAGACAAACTTTGACTTTCCAAAAAAAAAAAAAAGTGTTAAATATTGTAAGATAAAAGGGGAAAAAAAAAAATTACAGACACAAAAATATAATATGTGCGCCTCGGACATACTCCTACCAGAGAGTAAGGGCTTAATTTGTTTGATGCGGGTGGCCATAGCTGGAGTAAGTTTGGACTTGGTCTTTGGGTCTGCTGCAGAGGGTTCATCCGTCTCCATGGGAGCCAAGGTATCCCCATCTAGACCCATGCCTTCTAATAGACCACCAGCAGAGGAATCCACAGACACTGCCTCTGATTCTGCTGGATGAATGTGGACAAGTATGTATTTGTTGAAGGGTGCTCCAAGGACATCCTAGTTTTTAATGAACAAGTTTAAATGGTTACATTACCAGTTCTCCTGGAGCCAGAGGCTGAAGTTGCTGTCGTGTTGCCAGATGGCTTTTCCTCTTTGGGAACAAGTTTTTGCATGTCGGCCTGGCCAAACTCACATCCTGGAGGCAAACTGTTAAGAAACAAGCAATAAGTTGTTAGGGGTGATAACTACAAAGTTTAGGTAAAGGAGTAAAGGATAAGATTACTCACCTGTTAGGGGTGCAAAGGGACAGTAGCACAGTGCTTTCCCATACCAGAGAGCAGTAGAGCTGGCTGAGCTTGCTGAGAACACTCAGGCCGAGCTGAGAGCCCCACTGGTTTACTGAAATGGCTCTGATTTCACTCTGTTTAGAAGACAACAGAAATATTTAGAGCTGTTGAATCAATTTGGCTCTCACTTGTCAAACAAAGGCTGAATTTTCATTCATTAGCAAAAGTAAATTCTATGTTTTTGAGATCTAACATTTGGATTTCAATGTGTTTCTGTCCTCATAAGGCATCTGCATAGTGGACTGAACAGAAAATAATTAGCTGCATAAGCACTTGCTTCTAATAGTTTTTGGAAATCACAACATGGGTGGAGAGCCACCTTCTGAACTGAAGTGTTTTGAGGTCAAGTAGTTTTATTTTTTGTCTCTCACACACACACACACACACACACACACTGTGTTTACCTGTCCGACTCTGCAGGTATGGACAAACATGAGGATGTAAGCATGCGCTGCAGTAAGAGCATGTAGAAGGGGTGTTGCCCGAGCTGACAATGTGGCATCTGTGACGTGGCCGGCATTAGCCAGTTCTCTGAGAAGCACAGACCCACCAGGCACCTCAATTGGTCGATGAAGTGGCTCCAGAGATGTCAAAATACTGTCCAGTTGGCACAGGCCCTCCTGGAGTACTTTGGGCTCATGTGAGAGAGTCTAAAGGGAAGGATTGAGTCATTTTCAAATTGCCCACGAACTGCCTATTAAAACAAGTGTACGGAGTGCAACAGCAATGTGCATTCCATGTGTGCCAATTTCTTAAAAAAATAAAGAAATAAAAAATAAAGAAACTGGAAATAAATTCCAGTGATCTTTAAGTTATGCTCACCAGTATCGACTTGCAGACGCCAGCAACTGCTTGGCAAGCAGCTGAGGTGGGAAAGTCTATGGGCAAGTTGGGCAGGCCCAGAATAGAGACGAGGGGCAGAAGCCCCTTCTGGTTGACAAATTCTTGACAATGGTCATCTGTGGTGTTGTTGCTTAGAATGGATTCCACAAACTTCATCTGGAGAACGTATGCACACCAAATTATGGACTTAAGTGATAAAGGTATCCACTGCTTTAATAGCTTACACCATTTCCCAATTATTACTTAGAAAATATTGCACCATAAACCAGACAGTACAACCACTGAAGCAAAGACTTACCACATTAAGAATATAATCCATTAGAGGAATGGGTATCCGTTCCTCAGTGCCAACCACCCTGCAAGAATGCACACATGATCAAAACTTCAACCACCAACTGTATATTTGAAATGTTGTCAATTAACCTGGAAAAGTAATTAAAGTCTGTAAAGACAGTTTTTTCTTTTCTATTGTGTTATGAACTCAGAGTCATACAGTTCAAGTGGCACTGACTGTCTGCTGCTCTCTGCTTCCCCCTGCTGCTGGCTGAATGTGTGAAGGGCCTCCTCTTCCTCTTCATCCTCACTTGAAGCTTCTTCGGCAGCATGGCTGGAGCGTGCTGGTGGAACTGCAACAGTACCATCTGCTTTCTGGATAGATGGTTTCTGGCAGATGTACTCAGGAGCTCGACCTAGGTTGCAGATCTCCTCAAGCAACTGTAACAGCAACTTTGCTTTAGATACCTTGACATGTTCTGTTTCAACACTTGAAATATTTTTAAATCAAGTTTGTACTACCTTAATAATGGCAGTAGTAGCATCTGTTTTCAAAGTGGGCTGGTGCCTCATTAGTTCATCCACAGCACTACCCAAGTTGGATGCAGTGTCACCTGAATTAAAACAAACAACATGTTATGCAATGAAACGTGGTTCACGGGCAAAGACAAAAAAAACGCCAAAGACAAAAAATAAACAACAGGAGAACCTCACCCAAAGGGTCAGAGCTACGCCTTCGTCGCATTGCAGGCAGGTAGTCAGGAGACAAAAGCACTTTGAAGAGTCGCTCAAAGGGCTGGCACTGAACGAAGGAGTGCAAGCCTCTCGCATTCAAGCAGAGGGCACTGAACACATTGGGGAGAGAACCCAATACTTCGCGGGTAGCAGGAACCTGCAAAAGCGTTTGAAATGCTTTACTGTTTTTCAAGTTAAAGGCCCACTATTAGCCTGTGTTTTTTTTTTTGTTTGTTTGTTTGTTTGTATGTTTGTTTGGGGGGGGGGGTTGGGTTTTTTTTGTAAGAACAGTGGTTGCATGCATTGAAATGCTTTCCAGTAATGTCAGCCCGTTTATACAATATATATTCTGACTGAATGGTTGTTATAATAGTCAAATTTATAAATCAACACATGTGCAAGTCTGATTCCTGACTTTTGGATAATAGGCAACCATGTTATATCATCCATCCATATCTAAAAATAAAGAAATAATTAATTCTAAGAATCTATTGAGTGTACAAAGACACAGACATCAAAACTGATATTGAACTGCCACAAGTGGTCAAAGACATTAAGAAAAGAAAGAGCTAGAAACTCACATCTTTGATGAGAAGGGCATGCAGCATGACATCAGTCAGACCATTATCCTGCAAAGAGGAGAGCAGAGATGGCTCCTGGAACACAAACACCGTCACCACTTCTGTCGCTAAAAACCAGAAAGACAAAAACAAAAATGGGGGTGGTGGGGAAAGAAATCATAATCCAATAAAATATTAAATGGATAAAAATATTGCAACACTGATGAAGCAGAAAGTTTAACATGAGAAAAATGTTGCATTTGCCGTAAAGTGAAAGAGTGTAACTGTGTACTCACCTAGGAGGAACAGTGAGGGGCCGTAATATTCTGCATTACTGATGATGTGCTTGAGTGAGGTAGGCAAGGACCCATCCATTACTTGGAGTTAAATAAAAAAAAAAAAAGTGGGTTCACAATACAACACAGATGTACAGCAACATATGTAAACAAGATTCGTACAAGATGTATGATCTCAAGTTCATCGGTACAACAAAGAAGTGGATTCCAATGACTCACCATGGCGGATGCCATCAGAAAAGGCAGGGTCCTGGATGGCTTTCTTCAAGAAATTTAGCATCGACTTCAACAGAGCAGCCCTCTGGGGGATACACTGCATACCTAAAGAGATGAGAATCATAGAAACTGAAGAACGCGGGAGTGATAAAATTCATATATTCATTTGTGTGCGATGTGCGTACCTGCACGAGGCGTGTTAGTAGTGCTGCTCTGTGCTCGGTGGTCTCCCTCAGCTCTGGAACTAGAAGATGTTGATGGTCGAGGGCTGCTTTCCATAGCAACTTCTGACACTGTGAGAATTCACAATGTTTCCATATAAACAACAGGGGAATATTTTATATTTTATATAACCCTAACAAGCAGACTACTGCTTATAAAATCTGGCCACAACCAACCAAGGACTTGATTAGGAAAACCATAGCTGTAAGTTAGGCATGATCCCCTCTCTGAATACAGTATTCACTTTAATGTAATGTCATCACATAAGCAGGGGCAAAACAGGACTAAAAGCTCTTTGACCAAGAATTTAAAAAAAAAAAAAATGTATAAAGCATCATCATTATTGTTATACATGAGTATTATAGTGTAAAAATAAATATGTACAACTGTATTTAAAAGTTCTAAAAGTTAAGTTTTAGAAATATTTCAATTTTCCCTACTAGGGCGGCCTTTCTAGTAATTGGCATTTGGTGAAATGGCCCTTTATTGATTCACTGTTTTGAAGGAGCTACTAGAATTGGTTTGCATGTTTTAATGCTAAAAGCACTATACTTTTTTGTACCACATAGTGCAACAGAACATCATTCAGTGCATAGTACATTAGTCTTAATGGGTGTCACTTGTGTCACTGATGCGCATACAGTCATCTAACAACAAAGGCAGCAGGGCATGTAAACAATAGGGCTGCCACAAACAATTATTTTGACAGTCGACTCGTCACCGATTATTTTTTGCGATTAGTTGACTAATCAGATCATGCATCCATTGGACGTGCAACGTACAGCTTATTGCACCAGCATGCATTTGCTCTTATATAACTATTATTAGCTTATAGTTGTAAGTGTTTATTTTTTTTTCTCACTTATCTTAAAGACAAGATGATAGTTTGTTAAATTTTAATGAAATGTGCAGATTGTTTCAGTGGAGTTTAATAAACTCAGCCGTCTGCTCCTTGCTATCTAAAATATAACAGGACACTGGAGTATATTCTCCAGCATCTCACACTTCTGATAATCAGCTGTCTGCTTGACGTTTAGTCAGCTGTGTAAAAACTATAACTTTAATCTTAGCCAAACCGATTTACTCAGGAACAAATAAAATACTGAAAAAAGCCAAACAATAACATTTTTGAGTTATCTAAGTGACTTACATCATGTTTAACCTGAGCACTGGTTTGTCTGTTTTGGGAATATCACTATTGGAAATCAAAGTTAACCTATAGCGACTTCAGTCCCTAAGAACTGCACAATTTGGACACAAAGGCGTGTCACAACCCTGCATTATACTACCACCAAAGCCACCAGGAGAGACTGCAACAGATCATTGTCTCTTAACTATTCAGATCATAAATTATATGAAAGTCAGAATACATCAAAACCAAAACACTGCAGCTTAGCTGGCTAATTCAGCACGTGTGTAAAATACAGCAGCTGTGAATCAGAGAGGACGAAAGTTGACTGCTGGAAATCAACAAAGTAGGGCTGTGCGATGTGACCAAAATCTCCTATCCCGATATTAAGACATCTATCGTCTGAAAACGATATAAATCACAAAAATGTAACATTTTCTGTAAATTCTGTGAATCTCGGGCAGCTCGACTTGCGTGAAGTGTTTCCAGCTGGGCGTCATGTAGCTGGAGTCGAGTGTTTTAACCGATGCATGAAACGGTACATTTTTAGACATAAATTCTAAAGGCCGCCGTTTTCTTTGCGAATATTTATTACACGGCGTGTTGCAGGGAAAAGCCTGTTCTAACGTTTGAGTCTAAGGTTTATTTTTTAGCACTTGGCGGCTCTTTTCTAATTCTCATCCGTAAACACTCTGCATCTTTCACGTTATTCAGTTTATTTTGAAAAGTCTCAACAGGATCTTGAGCTTTATTGCGAAAGGTTTATGTGGAACAAGCGGACACGCGGTGGTTTTACTGTCGTTGTTGCTAACGACAACACATAAAAACAAACGCTTGTCTGTCTGTAGTCTGGTTATATTAAATAAGAGAAAAAAGAAATTAATATAGCCACTACAGTGACCATCAAAATAATGAAAAAATATTGCCGTAAACAGTTTATTTTGCGACACCAAGAAACAAACGATAGTGTAAAATGAAACGATAGACGTTTTTATATTGTCATCCGATATATATCGTTATATCGAACAGCCCTACAACAAAGCCATATCTTGATGCACGCTCAATCATCCATGTAAGGAAAACCCAAAAATTTGATTCTGTTCATCTGGATGTCTGGATCAAGAAGTCAAGACTTCTGAAGATGTCACTTGGATGAATGATGAAACATTTCTCCCACTGAAAACGCTACATCCAGATGAAAAGAATCAACTTTTTGGCAAAGAAGTCATATGTCCTTGTTCACCTGCCATGTGTGATCAAACACATTCACATAGTGCTTGATTATTTTGGAACTCGTGATTTTCCTCTGATGCCAACTAAAATTCAAAAACACCAACATTGTCTCTGTAAAGGAGTTACCCCAATACGTTTAGAAGATCTGTCAGCTCCGCATTCATCCAACAACCCTCTTTTCAAACGAGAAGTGTTCTACTCAAAGACTGGAAAGGCCGGTGAAGCACTGAGAACTCACTGTTGCGTTTATCAACAAAAATTCTCAAGTCAGCAGCGGCATTCAATTAATAACAGGTTTAAAGTTGCCCTTAATCTGGTCCACAAAGATTGCCCTCATCATTATACAACCTGCACCAGCCTGAATGTTTGGCACCATCCAAGGAGTCACAGAATTTGGTGACAACAAATTCTTACCATACCATCCGCATGCCTGAGCAATCTAGATTCCAACCAGGGTATGTGTTTTCAGTAAATAAAAGCTAGCACCATCTACAGCATGAAAGAAGGTTCTAGGTTCACACCTTCCTGGAGCCATCATGCACATAGCCTGCATGCTCTCCCTGTGCCAGGGTGGGTTTGCTCCGTTTGTTTAGAGACATCCATTTGAGATCAAATCAATTTTAAATTGATTGTAGAGGTGAGACCAACAAAGCGCTACGATTTTGTGGAATAAATCTATCAATGCATGTGTCGTGTCAAGCATTTTTAGTGGTCAGTATATATAGAAAAGCACTATGTAAATACCAGTCCATTGAGATCATTTTAACCACCACCCTGATGTTAAACATTAAAGAGGACATGAAACACTATACATATAGAGGCTAATATATACACCATTGAGCCCTGCTCTCAAAATGTGACAAAGATATAACACTGTCTGCGAAGCTGGATTTAAGAAATAAGTGCTTTTAGTTAAAAGTTTTAAAAAACCTTTTAGAGCAATCTTCTGTTAGTACGGAACATAACATCATGTGGTTGGTTGGTTGTTTTCTAATCAAGTTTTTGGTATATTATTGAAGTTCAAAACATTCCATATCTTCACTTACTCTCCATGTCTGTGTCCATGTCCTCAGACTCTACTGCTGCACTAGGCCTCTGGATCTTTGGCTTGATGACAAAAGGGCACTCTTTTCTCGACAGGTCCACCTCATGCTATATTAAGAAATTGATAGAGAGAGGAATGAGAAAATGCAGCGGACTGAGTGACTGTATCTAAAAGTGGCTAGGTCAGGAATATGCCTAACAAACCTCTAGTCTGCAGATGAAAATGGAAAGGCCGCTGTGGGACTGAAAGGCAGCCATGTCAAGGTTGGTGATGAGGTCCACAACCCGCACTGCTCTTGTTACAAAGGTGATCTGGTCCTGCTCGTCACCCAAGAACTTGATCACCTATGAAGTACAAGATAATCATTGATATATTTCTTAAAGACAACATTATGAATGGCTACGATGTGCTACAGGGCCTGTATGTACCTTAAGGAGGGCTTCCATCATTCCACAGGACACAAGGGCCTCCCCTCCAGCATCATAGCTAGCCAAATGGTAAAGGAATGAAAAGAGTGCTGTTGCAAACTGGTGTGGGTAAGGTTCCATCAGAGGATCTAGAAAGAAGGGGGGGGGGGGGTTAAAAGCTCTGATTTTATTTACCAAATTTCTTGCACATCACTCATTAAAAATTTGGGTCATAATTTCTGCTATGTTCTCACCAATCATTGCTTGTATGCAATTGCGAACCAACACGGGCAAGAAGCCATGGTATGAGGCAGTGCCGGTGCAGTCGATGATGTTGGAAAGCTTGGGCGTCCTCTCCAGATGGACAATTGAAGTTAAAGTGCGCAAAGAGGCCGCCTTGATATCCTGAAGAACAAAATCCAATACAGCACTTCAGAGAACAGACAATGCAAAAGGACAGATTGTGCAGACCTAAGAATAAAGAAGGCACTGAAAGTAATCATCTTCTCACACAGTCACAAAACACATCAAAAGACATTTTATTAATACAATGAAAGTACGTTTAGTGTAATGACAGTGATCGAGCTTGAAGGGGAAAAAAAAGGGAAAAAAATTACTTTCTTACCACAAGCTGTTTGTCTGTAATCTGCAAGACATCCACCAGCTCCTCTATCAAGCCATTATACAGAATACTGTTGGCTGACTCTTGGAGTGCATTTGAATACACTGGTGGGGAGAGGCAAAGAAAAAGAGAGAAAAGGTTAGGACATAAAACTAGGACCAAAATCATGTCACTTTCTTGGGAAAAAGCTTTCTGCTCACCCAGTATAGAAATAGCATGCAGTCGGGCTTGTACGGCCTGCAACCTCTTCTTGTGATTTGAGAAACCATGGGCTAGTCGAATATGAGTAAACAGTAGGGTCTGTTTGTCTTTTGGGATGTTGTACATCATTGTCAGTGACTCCATGATTTCTGATGGGCTCTCTGAAATCTATGAGACAAAACAAGCTGTGTATTAGGTCAAGAAGCCAAGATGTGGCTTTTAAGCTGTTAATGATGCAATTCTAATTTGACTGTACCTTGTCAAGCTGCTCGATGTGAATATAATGTAGTGTGTTACTACTTGTCTGCGGAGGGAATATGACATTTGGAAATGATTGGGACACAGTCAGGTGGTCAACAGAATATTCCAAATATTATTCAGTTTTTACTTTGGTTGCTTTAGTAAATGTTGATGCCTATACCTTTCTCTCTACTTTGACCTCAGGGCCCGGTTCAGCGTAAAACTCAAAGTGAAGTGTGGTGGCACTGGGAGGATACTTCTGCAGTGGGAATATAAACATAATTTATAAGTAGACGTTTCTGGCCAACAGTAATATGTAGGTGATAGTTATGAAACATCACTCACTCACAAAAAGAAAAAAAAGAAATCTTACCGTCATAGGCAGATCCCTGCAACATTCAGCCAGACCAAAGCCATTCTCCTTCCCACCCCAACTCTGCAGAAAAGAACAAAGAGACTAAACAATTCAACTCCACTTCTTGAGGGACAGCTAGAATCACAATGACAAATGTTCACCAGACCTCAGCCAAGTGCTGCAGACGGGCCAGGAGAGGAGTCCTTTTTTCAGATCCCAGTCTTGTGATGTAGTTGGATCGCTTACTGAACACATAGAGTAGGTTCAGCACAGACAGGACCACCTGCATGTCACATGATGCTAACAAGGTGGTCAGGTGCTGTAAAGGGGGTGGATGGTAGATAAAACAAGAAATATTTAAGTTTGTGAACTTCGTTTTCTCTGACATATCCACAGCACAAAAAAAAACAAATATGTATCAGTAGTACTGAAGAACTGAATTGGTTGAACCATACCTCTATGGAGCTGTAAAGGTGCCTAGAGAAGCTGTACTCAATAAGCAAAGCTGTGAAGTTGAGCACTGCCAAAAGCAAGGCTTTGAGCTGTCCATTCTCTGGACGGTCACACACCAGCAGCCATGACATATTCTCTACTGTCTGGCCTGCATCACACAGAATACCATCGAAGCGGTCCAACAGATCCACCCAATGGTAAAGCTCACACTGTTGAAAGAGATAAAAAAAATAACAAATTTCAAACAAATATTACATATCATTGATTTAATTTAATGTCCAAAAAAAGTTTTAGATTTTGTATTCTACTCTCAAATTAGTAGTACTTCTGGCCATTAGGATTCTGTAATGACAGCAAGTCAGACCAATGGCAAGTGCCAGTGACATTCATACATAATTATTTTTATATTTGCTTGTAGCTCATAAGTTTTCATAAATTTAATAAAGTCAAAGTCAATTTATTTCTCAGGTTTAAAGCTTGAACACATCAACCACCTCTTATTTTGTAGCATTAAGTTAGGATTAAATCCCCATTCCCTTTTGCCTTCTGTTAATCTGTATTATTACTACACTTGCTAAGACATATAATTTCATTTCAGGGAGATGTTTCTAGAAGTGTGGTGCGGAAATGATGTCATGAACTTGTGTCAGCAGGTATTGTGAAATTTCTCAAATATATTTGATGATATTCTTGATATTCCACACAATTCTAGAGTGATGGGAACCTTGTTATAAGAGTTTGTGTTTTATAAAAGACTGAAGGAGTAGCTTCTCCTTCAGCCTAATCTTCTTACCTTGCCAATATTCCAGGTCTTGATATGCTGCAGTTCAACCAATAGCTGCTCATCATTGCATGCCTTGAGCTTCTCTATAAGTATCCTGCAGTCAGCAGGCTGTTGGTGCAGAAGGTTTAGAAAAATATTTGGTCAAGCACAGTTCCTGGATCCTTATGAGTCCTCTCAAAACACATTATAGCACCCTAAACAGATGCTCTATGCTGACAGACAGTGAAAATCTCCATTTACACCGAACTAACAACTCTGGGCAAACACAATAACCCACAATACTTTCACTCACGTTTTTTACATATGAGAAGGAAGAGAAAAGAAAAAGATCAATTAACAAGTCAAAAAGCAAGTCAAAGTCAAACTGAGCACAATCTAATGAACTGGGCTTAAAATTGTACATAGAAATACTATGTGTGTATTTGAGCTACTTTAAGCTGGTAATCACACTCTTTGAGAAACAAAGTGAGCCTGACATCAGCAATGCTAGCACCACAGCATTCTTTAATGCCAATACCCTTGTGCAAAATGTGGTTGAATGCCATTTTATTCTGAAACAGTTTAGATACAGGCATTTATTTTCTAAAACAAAGCTAGAATTCTCTGCTTTAGCAGGGCCGTGACTTGTTTTACTTTCCACCTAGCTTGTTTACAACTTCCCTTCAAAAAAGTGAGCGGTGCTGCAGTCTGCCTAGTGGTGGAAGACTGTTCAACATCTTTGAACCAGCAGTTAAAAAGCATAGTGAATTACTTGGTTTAACTGACCAATACTTCCATTTCTGAATAGCACAATCCTACAAGAAGACGTGTCCTGTCCTGTCACTGTTTACTTATCACGGCATTCAGCTGTGCAGGCATTATCATCAAGGTAAACAACAGTATGGCTGTTAAATGTTTTAAGTCTTCAGCTCTAACCCCTTACCATTCTTAAAAACTCCAACATTAAAGTAATTCAGTTCAATTTAACCAAATTCAGTTCAGAGAGTTCAAGATCCTTCTAAGATAAATACCAGAATTTTTCCCGTAGAAATGTTTGGTGCTCAAAACAGTTTTAGCCAGACCCACAGTAATTAACAGCATTGGAATAAAGTTATTTCTGTATCCAGTTTTGTTAACTGGGGTTTCATTAAACAAGGATAACAGCCAGTCCTGCTTATCAAAACATTACAGATAAGAAAATTCCCAGATTTTTAATAGAGAAGTTATCCGAGTTGTCAACTGCATCGTACACATCATACTTGCAGTCATAGCCCCCCCCAATTTTTGGACATGACAAACTGTAAATTTCTTGCAATATATATATAAAATAAGAAGCATCTTCAACAAGTTCTTTTAGGCCCTGCTCCCATTATGAACTCTTATCACAAGTGGCTAGAGAAAAGTTATCCTAAATATCCCAACTACATGCAATTTAGGCAGCAGTGAGGTTAGGAGCTATGAAAGAAAACACAGCCAACATCAAATATACTCACAGCTTCCGTAGGTGTTTTCTTTAACTTGCTTCTGTCGACCTTCATTGTCAATAATCTCTATTTGCTGCTCCTGTTGAGAAATGTTAATTTAACCCATAAAACAACATCTAATAATGAATTTCAGTGTGCTGTGATGCAGATATTCTTCTATAGCACTTGCGTAAATATACATTTGGACTTTACATATCTAAATACTCCCAGCCAAACAGTTATTCGGATATTGAAATATTAACATTAAAATGTCTTAAAAAAAAAACAAAAAAAACAAAAACAAAAAAAATAAGATACATACTTACAAAAAAATATTTGGCAATGCCCACTTAAGGGCATGTTCCAGTTGCTCTATCTGCAAAATCAAAACCTTACATCAAAACAGTGTCCCATATGTTATTTAAAAAATGCTCCAGGTAAATATGTAAATTATTTGGATAATATTCAGTATATAATAGAACACAAAAAAGTACCTGCTGGCTATATAGCTAGGGAAATTCGTACATTATGTACTTGAAATACACATAACAAAATGCAGACAGTCGACTACAAATCTCAACATTTGGCAGGGCACTCAGTGAATAAGCAAAGGTAGATGATATGGCGATAATCCTCGAAAATCTGTTACAGCAAAAAATGATTGATCACCACCAGTGGTTAAAAAGGTGATGAAAACATTGACATTTTCTCAGGCTCCCTAAAAGTCTGATGATCACAAAGCAAACCGGGCAGAGCATTAGCTGACGGCTAGCGAGCAATGTACGACACAAAGTTAATCAAATTATATTGGGTCCCATTTATTGGCCTAAAACATTAGCCCAACGTTTCATCACTTTCAAATTCAGGGGAGATTTAAGCCAAACAGTGCGCCTCTCTGTTTGCTTTTCCATCAACTCAAACGACTCGAAGCTTACAGGTTAAAGTTATAGCTACCTAGCTAACAAGCTAGCGTCGGTAATAGCTTTACGTTATTTACCTAACGTTAACAAGTTCCTATTCAAAGCCCACACTGCAGTTATAGGGCATAAACGTGATGCGTTTTGTTTGTAATTAGGTAGCAACACGTCTAAGAAAACGAGAACCCCTGTAAAACTCAACGTAGCGACGGAATCGATCGGCAACGTTTGCTGCGGAGATGTTAACCCCTGACCAGCTAACACCGAGCTACCGGTACCGTTAGCAAACGATCTTCCTCTGAAATTCAGAGTCACCAAACGTTTTTTAAAAAGTCAGCCAAGTCATAATCAAGTCATGCGTGTCATCAGCGATAACCATTCACAATGTAACTAAGCAAAATTCAAACCGCTAGGACCATTTGTGGCACAGCTGTCAAACCAGACCTTACAGATTCACCATCCTGTCCTGACCTGACTCTTGACTAATTTAGGTCGGGGCTGCACAGGCCGCAAAAAGGAGCCCGCACTCCCTAGTTCAGTGCTGGCCCTACTCCAGTTAAGATGAATCTGTAAACAACTCGGTGACTAGCGACAAAGAGATGAATGTGTGCAAAATACCTGGAAACACTAACGTGACTTTTTTTTTCTTAGGCTCGGAGTTCCTGGCTCTAAAGCTACAGTCGTTGCACGCGCTAGCTAGCGAGCTAGCTACCGTTAGTTGAGCAGTGAGCAGAAACGCAGAACAACTCGCTGAATCATTGTCGGACCGGTCTAACGTGACACTGCGAGTTTTGTTTTTAGTTTGCACAAGGGAAAATTGACTACCGAATCAATTAAGAAGTTTGTTCGTCCGTCCGGAGTATTACAGTATCCCCGCCTGTTTCCATAGCACATAGGCACTAGCTCTTGGCACAGTCATGATGAGTGTGGGTAGTGTGCAAAAAGTGAATAACGCTACGGCTGGGAATGAGAAGCCACTGCTGTCTGTATCGATGCAGTGCGTATTTATAACGGGGCAATGGGCCCTCTGTGGGATGCACCACCAAAACATCTTATCATATTAAGTCGACATAGTTCTTCAAGTTATTTTCATGAAAGCATACCAGGCACACCAGCGTAAGCGCCGACATATTCATACGAACTTACATGTGCATCAAAATCTTGTGCTAGCCACCGTGAACACTTAGAAAAACACAAGCACATTACATCAAAACAACTTTAGGTATTTGATCCATGAATGTTTACAAAATAAATAAATCAGAATTTTTAAAAGCCTGTTTACGAAACCTGGACAAGTCAGGAGTATACACTTTATTTCAGTTTAGTAAGCTTAGAGGTTGCTAATTGTCTAGTTCATTGATATTTTTTAAGATTACTCACTGTTGCATTATGTGTGTAAGACTTCTCTGATGAAGTAAGCAAGTACTTAATTCAAACCTTTAAGAGCTAACATACTGATGTTAGAACACCGACCTTGCTCAGTTACTCAGTGCTACATTATAGCTTATATGATTTAAGTGTAGTTTTCTCCATATGCCTAATTCAACAAAATTCAGTGTCATTAAAAAAAAAAGAAGAAAGGGGGACAAAGGGAATCATTGTTTTCTTTTGGCACTATATTTGTTTACCAAATTAATCTGAATTATTCATGCATTATTTATTGATAGGCAAATTCAAATTACACAAAATGAGTGGGGACTAAATTAAACCCCTGCAACATCTAGGCATTATCTTAAGGGATGTTTTTGTTTTAAATATTTTATTGCAATATCAGTGGATATTTTACTGACATTGGTTGTATATTGGTGATTATTTAAAATAGTATTTACAGGGTTTTTTTTTTAATATTATAAATATGGATGTCTGCCAATATTGATTACAGCACAGACATAAAACAAAAAAGTTTCCAAAAGCTCCACACACCCTGTGAGAGGTTATGGTTTTTCCCTAAATTAATATTTGGGTATGACGAGCAGCACAAACACTGTCACTGAGCCCAGTTGTTCAGAGCTGAACAATGGCTGAATAATAGAAATCACAGTAAATCTCACCAAGACCCTCTGGTTAGACAGATATAACCACATGGAACCAGAAAAGAAGGTCACATTTTCTTATTTAGGAATTTCAATAACTTCTGCTAGTTTGAGTTGCGGAAAAATATTTCAAATACACCAAAGTGTTTACTGTCAGAAATACCTTGCTCCTCTTCTTCTTATTGCAAACTAGAATGTGCCAAAACTCTGCCAATGGCTATAGGGGGTGTTTTGTTTTTGACATTTACTGCTTTTTGTGCCATATAAAGACAAAGAAATCATTATTTTTAAAAAACACTGAACTGTTTTTATGTCGTTCAGCCCTTCAAACTACCAAAACATGTAGCCCGTGGAAATCTCCTCTAACACAACAGATAAACATCAACCACTGCCATCTCTGAATACCATCTTATTTGCCAATAGGCGATGCAAAAATCGACTGATACAGATATTAAGTTGTTACATCAATTTATCCCTACAGGTATATTCTTCATGTATAGTGTGCATTACCAGCTCAGTTCAGTCAAAGCAGAAAAAAAAGAAAGGAGGGGAGGGGAGGCAGTACTCACCAGAATCTGATCTGGTTCAGTGGTTCCACCTTTCTCATCCTTGATTTACTACGCTGTTTCTTTACACAATCTGAAAACATATGACAAACAATGAAATTAGTTTTGAATGAAGAAAATAAAATGGAACTGCTTGGACACTTGAAACACCATCTCTATTTCTCCAAACGTCCGTCATGTCAGTGTTTCAGGTAGAATTCAATTAAAACTGAAAGACTTTCTACTTTGTAAAATTAAATATAGTTAAACACTTAACTTATTTCTGTTTCACTTAAACTCTGAAACAGGGCTGTACCTCCAGTTTTCTAACTTTGGGGCCTTAACAGTTTCCTTTTATACACAGGATTCAGGATGTATATGTGTTTTGCACATGTGAATGACATTTCTAACTTATCTGTATCTTCCTTAAGTCATTATTTTTAAACAAACTGATTTCTTTGATATCTTGTTACTAATTGGACAGTGTGCATAACTGCTATGGGAGTTATTTTTTCTGTAAACATGGACTACAATCAACAGATCCTTACTGTTTAAAATTTTCTCAAGTTCAACTTATTTGTCTGCCATTAAACTACACTGTTCAGCACAGACTTGCTGTTGATGTGCATGCCTTATTTATGCCAACCAAACAGAACTTTATTTATGAAAAATCCATGAGAGAGAGTAGTAGTCCGCATAAAACAATTTCCATTTCGGCAATCTCTCTCATTAAATCATATGGTACTTTAATATCACAACCTCCATATCGCTGAACAGAATTACCCTAATTACCCAGATTTTAAAGTACATTAAAATATTTGCAGAAAAAACTTGTCACATCTCCACTTTTAAACTGTTTTATACTTTAATAAGCTGATCACCTTTAATGAGCGAGCTGAGGCCTGGCATAAATGAACTATCCCGGCAATAGTTTGATTCCATAATAAAGAATACAAAAACCCATGAGGCACTCAGGGGCGATTTAAGCCATTGACGGAGAAGTGGTCTACTTCTTTGTCATACCATCACATTTAACAGCGATTAAGAGTATGATGAGATGGTGAAGGGAATCTGACAGGTAACAAATATTCACATTTCAGCAGCTCGGTATGTTTTCACCAAGTGGTTTCACCGCTTGACCTCAAGACTTGTATATGCTGCTGCTGTTTGAAACAAGTCTCTCTTGTAAATGAGACAGTGAGCCTCACCGGCATCACATTTAAAAATAAAGGATAAATAAAATTTGCAAATGTAGCCGAGTGCAATATTTTCTTTGACGAAATCATGCTGATTCTACCGATGAACGCACATTTAATCTAAAACCAACCTGCAGCATTTATAGCTGCTGACATTATGGAATGTTGAAGTCATCATCCGAAACACAAAGTGAAGTAAAGGCTATTATTACTCCCAAGTTAACTGAGTTAGCTCCAAGTTGAAAGCGTGTACATTCAGTTCCTATCCCATTGTTTCTAAGTGTTGTTTAAGTAGCTTGCTACGCAGTTAAAGCTAAGTCAGTAGTGGCGCTAACGTAGACAAAGTTAACAGCTAGTCATCTGATGTTAGCTAGGTTTACTAGCACTTTTGGCTAACATTTGCTACTTCGGCTTTAATTCAGCTTTGACGGCTAACGTTAGCACATCACGAAAAGTCAATCTGCAACACACACTTTGACTCAAGTTGTCTTCATTCCCGCCAAGAGAACAAGCCGCAACAGAGGGAGAAAACTGGCTTTAGATTACTTGCACAGAGGTGTAAATACCCACACACAGTGAACATGACTCTGCGTGTTAAGTGTGCGGCTTCTGTGTTTGAGGGTTTCGCGCGAGCTAATCGGCTAGCCGTTAAGGCTCCGAGTCCGCACAATGCTCTATCCATGGGATCACGGCTAAATTAAAAATGGCGGTTTACACTGCAAAAGACGCATACATTACCATTAAAAATACACTATTTTGGTGGCTCGGATCCCTTAACGACAATCAATCAGCAATTTACGGACGATAGACGTCCATCACCGCTTTGCTAAACCCCGTGTCAACACTTTAGAATAAGTCTTTCTGCCTACCTCGAATGCGTGTTACATTTGCTTCTCCATCTTGCACTAACGAGTGGTATGGCAGTTTAGTTCTCGCGAGAATACCTGCTGTTGCGTTTACACAGGGCACTCCCTTGTAATTGCTATTAAAAAAACCACACAAAACAAAAACAAATGCTAAGGCATTTCAGATTGGAAGTAAATGGCATTTCCAGTCTCGACTTTTTAATTAAATGTGCAAACGAAAGCACACAGCAAAAGTCTCCAGGCTTTCTGAAAAATATAGTTTAATATCAAAGTGCATTCAAACTCACTGACATTTGTGGAATAAAGACTGGACATTGTATTAACAAATGTATTCAACCCTAAACTTAAACTGTGGGATGTTAAGATGTTAAAAATAATAATAGAACAGTAATTCATAGATCAAAAAACCATGAGAAAATATGTTTACACCCTTTATTAAAAATACCCAGGTTGGTTGCTAATCTCTACAATTAATGAAACTGTACTTTTATTGGAAAAAAAAATCATTAAGTGTAGATGTTTTTAATACAACACAACATTCCTTGTTTGTGTATTCAAAAACGTTCCTAAATGACACCTTCATGAATGCACTGACACCTTGGTTCTCCAGCAGACATGAGAAATCAGAAGACCCACCGGTAGTGCTTTTGGTGACTCAGCAATCAATCAATCAAATAAACTCAAAGAAAAAAAGAAATTTTGCCCAAGGTATATTTTATCTTTTCCAGGTCGTATTTAAAACACATCATGTTTAAAATGCACAGTTCACACCAACACAAGAGTGAAAATCAACAATAATTAATATAAAACTAAATGGATGAAATTTAACAAGGGCATTTTCCAGCACGCTTCCAATAACACTAACAAGACAACATGGACTTAGCATGAGAGTTACTGCATACAAATATAAAAAAGAACTATTTCAGATATTTCCCAAATACAGCAATGTATAATGTACAAGTCATGTTACGAAAGATCTGAAAGTTTTTGAACTAGAAAAGAATTTAAATTACAACATATATTTACATATCACCTCATGTCCTGCACCTTCACAAAGTTAAATCTACATCTCTGCCAACATTTTAGGACTAGTACATTCTGTGATACAAAAACACATTTCTATTTCTGACCCAAGAGTCCTGCTAACATCCGGGGCGCAATTTACGGCAACATGCAGGAACCTTTTTTTTTGTTTGTTTGTTTGTTTTTAAGTCTAAAATTGTTCTGCATTTAAGCAGCTATATTAATTACAAATATTACAAGTATTTACAGTGACAACAAAGCAATGGCTACAGTTTTTGTACAAGCATAAAGTGGTTGAAAATACTTGACGTGGGGACCAGAAGATGAGGTTGTAAAAACATACAACATAAAACAGGATAAGAGATGGCAAAAGTTCTGCCCTGTTAAATAAATATGAAAAGAATAAATATAATAATGGTGGTAAGTCCTGGCATTAGTCTAGCACGTCAGCTTTCATAGGTAGAGCTACAATATATGGAGATCTATTTTCTATACAAACATCAGGGGCAAATTTCTCAAAAAGAATTAATACATGTCGCATATTATATGCACACACTTGAGTTTTGTACAACCTTTATTGTAATAAAAATTAGGTAAAAAGGAAACTAAACAAAAATAATACTACAACTCAGTATTTGCACCAATGGATCTTCTGCATGGGAAAGGGGCCTATACAAATATCACATTAACTGTTTTCTTTCCCTTTAAAAAAAGAAAAAAAAAGTATGATGGATAGTACAAACATAAATACAACCTCTAAAATGGCCTAAACAAAAGAAACCATTTGCCTTTGTCAATTACCACGTTAAATCAATGTCCACCTGACATTCTGAAATTCAAATGTGACGTCAAATAGGTGGTAATTAACAGTTAATTACCACGTTAAGTGCTTGTCCGGCACATTACAGTGATTCACTTAAAACCACACGTGCTTCCGAAAATACCTTTATGCAGATGAGGGTGAGCAGAACTGGGCAGAGTAACTGGTGTAGGACAAGAACTTTTTTTGTGAGGTTCAGTAACGAGTAAAAACAGTAAACAAATTTATCTGGAATAAAAAATATAGATTACTGTCTCTTTTTCCTTCAGACCTACTTCAGGTCTTTTCTTCATTCTCATTCTTCAGCCACACTTCCAACACCTCTCACAAGAGAAGTTTGCCATTGCGGTGAATTTTCAGGATTTTTCCAAGTCTCTGTTTTGCAGTCGCAAGACCTTTCTTTGGACGTTTCCCTAAATCAAAGTATAAGGGAAACATTAACCAAAACAAATAAACTTTATAAAATATGATCTTATGCTGTCAAAACTAAAGTTTACTCAAGTTTATGCTCACCTTGACCAACTCCTGTTGTGCCCTGACTGGATAAACCTGCGGGGGATGCACCGGAGTGAGAGCTGCTATTTTGTGGAGACAGGGAAGGTCTTCTTGATGTAAGAAATACACCCGGAGCCATGGCTCCACTGCCTCTAGGTCCTCCTGAGCCAAAAGGTCCTGGTCCTGCTGTATATTCATGGTCCAACAGACTAGCAGAGTAATAATCCACTCTTCTGTCTGGGCTGGCGTCTGCTGCAGACTCTGGGGCAGGTGTTGGAGAGGGTGGGGCTGGCTCGGTCTGAACAGGAGGTGGAGTGATGACAGGAGCAGGGGGACGCTGCTTTTTCGTGTACTTCCTTTTAGCAGGCTTTTGCTGCTCCTGTTGCACAAACAACAACGTTTTTCATCTTTTCCAAGGAATATTAGAAGACAAGATTTTTTTTATTAGTTCCCCCCCCACTCACTTGTTGTGCCAGCTTGGCAGCAGCTGCAGCAAGGCCAGTTTCTACAGAGGCAACTCTAGCTCCCTCCCTGGCTGGACGATCCTGTTTGGGAAGGGTGGGCATCACCCTGGCTGTATATGAAAATAAGTTATTGAGTGACTAAACATCAGAAAGCTAAAAAGAAATTTGATCGATCCTTCTGCTATGTTTACCTTTTGGACTCCATGGTGTGTCATCCCAGTTTTTCTTCCGCTTCATCTTAGTCTTGTTGGTGTGATCCTCCTCATCAGATTCCAAGGATGGGTAAACTTAAAAAAATAAATACATAATTAAAAAAAAATTATCATAATTAAATGTTGGCTTGATCAGGAAAATTAATCAAAGTTGTACTGCTCACCATAGTCTGAATCTTTAAAACAAGTTCCCAGAGTCTCCTGTTCATCTGGACTTTCCTCGTCACTAAGGTGACGGGCTGGTCGTTTAATTGGACGTTTTCCAGGTCGCTGAATGACAGGTTTCTTCTCAGAATTTGCTGTCTTTTTGACCCCTCCTGTCACCCATACAGCCTTGCCCCCCTTTTCCTTGACGACCCCTAATCCTTCTGTCAGGCCTCCAGATATAGACAAAGGAGATGAAGAGGATGAGGAGGAGGATGACGAAGGGGGGTTGGCCATGGAGAGCATCCCTTGAATGGCATCACGAGTGCTGGGAGAGGCTGGGGCTTCCTCACTGAGAAAAGTACACAGCTCATCACTAATCACCTCGCAATATAAAACTCTTACACAAAGTGGGACCCCAAACCCATTGCAAATTTGTAAAACAAAGGTTTTCAAGATGACTTCATCAACAATATGAGTCATTTTCACCCGCCTCCACTCTGAGGTGAACAAAGGTATACAAAGTTTTCTGGGTGTTTCAGCTGCACAGCTTCACACAGTACCATTTTATTATGATTATTTATAAGTACCAATACACAGATGATCCAGGCAATCTTACCCGATTGCTGTAGAGTCCAAGCCTGCCACTTGCTTGCTAGCCTTCAGTAAGTCCAGAATGCCCCCTGCACCACCCTTCACTCCATGAGCAGCCAGTGCCTCTTCATCAGTGGTGTAGTCCTCCTGAAGCCACATCAATTGTTTAAAAACTGAACATCAAGTTCTTGTCAACACTCCATGGCTTGTCTTATGAAATAAAGCTTTTGTTTGCTCAGCAGGGGATAACAAAATCAATATAAGTGAGCTGCTCTAATTTATGAAACATTAATTATAGTGTAGTGGATAGTTTCTTTAAATCTTTGGGACTGACCTTTTCTGACTGTTATAAGTAAAGAACACATTCGAATTGGAACTCAAAGACCTGAAAGGATGGCTGTTTCAATAATAATCTCACCTCAATGTCAAAGTCAACTTCTCCGGGCTCTCTGATGCGATTAGGGTCAGAGCACGGTTTGGCTCTGGGCAGCTTTCTAGGAAGACCTGAAGGTACATTTTAACACTATTAAATTACAGCTTTTAAACTACTACTGAATTATATTAGAAACCACATTTTGTTATTAGTCCCAGCATTCAAACAGCTTTACTTAAGTATGATCAATTTTACTTGCAATAGATGAATAAATGAATGAACAGATTAAACACATGTATATATTTCGTTCAAGAATGCATAATACACTTACCACTCAGCTTCTTCTTCTTACTCAGTCCAGCTGTCTTCCGTCGTGGAGGTGGGGTCTCATCAATCTGCAACTCATCCTCAGACTCCAAGTCGGACAGACTGGATCCCTCCGTCGCAAGATGTTTGTAGTTTCCAGCACTTCCTGCACCATTACTGCTGCCATCCTTCTTACTGAAGCCAGAAAAAACAGCAGGTAAACACATCAACCTGTAGTAAGATCACAGAACCAACAGGAACCCTTGAAATGGCTGTAAAGCTTACCCTTGAATTTTTCCATTGGTCAACACAAGTTTCAGCTTGCTTTTATTTATCTTCCCTTCAAACTCCTCTAGTGGTAACTCCAACTGCAAAGAGAGATCATCACTATAAGGATATATGAAAATGAAACATGTTCACTGAAAATGCTGGATAAGCATTCCCATTATCATCACAAACATCTGCAAACATCATGCCTTGTTCTTGTGTTTCGACTTTCCAGGTTGAAATTTCTTGAGTGTATGTTTGGTGTGGATCTCAATCAGATCGAGTTCTCCTGCTTCTGCTTTAAGTAGTCCCTTTTGACTCTTCTTTTTGGTTCCTGGGGGCCCAACACCCCCTGTCATCTCCTTGGGCTTGGGCCCTTTCTTTTTTCCAGGGGGCCGTCCTGAATTCTGAGAGGTGGTGAGGGGAGCTTTGGAGAGTGGCGAACCAGGAAACTGAGGACCAGTGCGGCCAATGTTTTGCTGAAAGATATCCTGAAAAAACAGATTATTTTTTAAAATCATTAAAACACAGAAAGAGTAAGAAAAACATTTAAACATTAACATTTGTAGAATTAAAACAAGCTTTCAGTGATGTCATTTACCTCCACCAGACGAATCTCCTTGGCCAGGTCCTTCACCAGCGCCGGAGTATTGATGGTTTCTGGAATCTCCACTTCATGATCTGCTAAAGCCTGAGTGTAGGAGATAATCATCAATCATCTCCGTACAACATTTTCCAAAGCTACAAGTGATACTATGCTCTTTTTATGTTACTATGATTATTATTCTTATCATTATTTCACACATTACAAACTGTCACAATGGGGAAATGGACATATATCATTTCACTGTAGAAATGTCACTACATCAGACTCTACAGTTACACAAATGATGTTACAAGGAAAAGTTACGGGCTCAGAGCCTGAGGGCAATGCCATGATGGCTGCCGAGGGGTCAGATTAGTGTAATGACTTTGGTCATGCAGCAGTATTTCCTGTCAGTGATCGGTAACTTCCTGAAGTCTCTGCTGGTTGTCTGGCAAGTGCTCAGAACCAAGACATAACAGACATAACACCATGGCGAAGCCACAGGACGTCATTTCTACACTGATTAAACAAGCAAGCTTCAGAGGTATAAGCAGACAGACATGAAAGTGGAACTGATTTTCTCATTTAACTCTTCGCTGGGGAGCAAATAAAAACATCCCAAATTAGCAGTTTTCTTAACAGCATTGCTGCAATTTAATGTTTTGCTTCTAAACAAGAAAAATACCATGCAGTAACTTTTATGTAATCATTTATGACACTATAGATTTTACTGCATTAAAGTTAATGTATTAAAACAATTGTAGAGCTGTATTTCTGCTCCAATCAGTAGCATTCTCTGGGCCAAAACATTAATAATTAAAAATAAAAAACTTCCCATATTTCAAAGTCAACTTTAGAAGGAAAATAAACCAAGCAATAAGAGAATCAGTAAAACCAGGACTAAAATTGGACATTACATTGCAAATGTTTAAGGTTTTACCTCTTTGCGGGTCCAGCTGCGGAAGGCGTTGTTTAGGGCCTTCGCCCCATGAACCAGGTAAGTGGCAGGATGCCTGCGATTTTCTCTCAAACCTGTCAGACCAAACACCACAAAGTTAACAATTATTAACAGCAAACACAGACCAGTCAAGTAGTTCAAATAAAAACATAATAAAAGCCAAAGCCCTTACCTCTGAAAGTATCAAGAAGGTGCTTTCCTACATACCAGCACACAGTCTCAAAGTTGGGAAATTTGAACAAGTCTGCTGTGCTTAGTCTCTTCTCTATTTCATAAGCCCTAAACAATACCACATCACAAAAAGTTGTTTATTGCCACCAGGTTAAAATATCTCTGCAGACAAGAAAAAACAACAACAACCCACAAGTATAGTAATTTTAACCAAATACAGAACTTCAGGTTTGAGGAACAAGAAGTGAGGAACCACAACAATTAAGGGTGCAAGTTCCTTCGTCCGCCATATCTAAACACTGACATTTCAACATTTCAGTCAAAAGGAATACAATTATGCTCAATGAAATATACTTAACATACATAAGTTTATCAAAAAACTAACCGCAACTGCATGTCAATGTTAAGACTATGCAAGAAGTTTCCTCCAAAAGCCAGGCAGTCCACTGGAGTGAGCACAGAATGAATCCACCCTGGTTAAAAAATAAATAAATAAAAATCCACACTATAAGCAGATCATTTTCTCTCAGCTTTGGCTCGTCTCTCTAAAACAAGGCTTTTACACAACTGTGTATAAATATAAGAGTGTATAAATATAGAAATGTAGCTTAGGCATTATGGTGCATACACACAAACAGGGTTGTAAACACCATTGTAATCTTTACTGCTCACAAATCATTTTGTGGCATGTTATTGCTTTCATAATCTAAATCATAGAGAGAAAGAATGCACACCAATCACTCTTCTTCTTCACTGGTAACTTTTAAAAGCTGTTCGACCTCTGTTTGGATATTGAACTATAAGCTGAACTGTTGCAATATACTTGGTAGAAACAAGACTCCGCCACAGAAACATAGACAGTTTCTACTTTACTTATTTTCTATGGCTTTTTTGTGTTGTCATCATGTATGCCCATGTAGAAACCAGATGAAATGCCTGATATTCATATTGTAGCTGAGTTAATGTAGTTAGTTTGAGATATCTGACAAAACAAAGCTCTGCTCTAACAAAAAGAATTACCCTAGTGCTTACCTGTTGGTATGAACAAGGTGTTTCCCTGTTTGACAGAACACTTATAGCACATGTCAACCTGGTCCCCAAAGAACATCTCATTCTGGTTAGATGATGAACTCCATCGCTCAAAAAGTGCCAGGTTGGCAGGGGTGGGGGAAATTAAATAGAAGATTTTCTCACCCTGAGTAAGCACAATAAGGGAAGCTTTTAAAAAGATGCAAAACTATTCATTTAAAACACAAACACAAAAAATGAATGTGAACAGAAACCTTTGAAACAATTAAAATTCCTCCACTTACCCTGAGGACATGGTACCACACTGAGGTGCCTCCAAAGTCAATATGGAAGTCTGTGTAGCTATCCTTCACTCCCATTAGGCAGTACTTTTGCACATTGGGACGCTCGAAAACAGACTCTTCAGGCCAGAGGTTTTCCACCCAGGAAAGTTTCCTCACAATCTTAGGCGTCTCCACCAGGTTTGACAGTCTAAGACAAGTCCAAAACTTTTATTTAGTCTTTAAAACTCCACACCAGTAACGACAATGTGTTACTTAAACGTATATTTAGTAGAATGACTGACTGTCTTTTCATACCTGGTCTCAGAGAACTCCAGGCTGATGACATTGAGGACCCTGTCTCTGTTGGGGCTGTTGTAGTACTCAACAAAGTCGCCCAAACGCATCTTCAGATCACACTGGCGTGAAACATCAATTACGTCGATCTCTTTATCCGAACCTGAATTTAACAAAATGCACAGGTTTCAGAAAACAAAGCAAACAAAAACGAATTTACCGATTACAAAACACAACCTAACCATAATTTAAATTGTAAATGTATCAAAACTTTACCAATGTAGTGCTCCACATCACTGACGCCAAATGATGATGGAGGTAGGGTCATACCCAGGCCATCCCGCCGCAGAACCATGACAGGTACACTGAATGAATGCTCCTCCAGAAACTCAACTGTAAGTTGGGCCCCTGAAGGCTTTAACAATATTTCATCCGCACTGTCACAGAAAAACAAAAAGTACGTTTTCACTCTGATCACAAGAAAAAAAAAAACAATAATAGGACAGAGTGATTTACAGTGTTATTACATTAAAGATCAAAAACCCAGGATGCTAATTAAAATAGAGACACATGGAGTAAGCAGTAATAACTATAACACCAGTCTCCCTTACTAACACACACACACACATACACAGAGGACTAGCGACTGGCTGGCAACATAAAGTCCTTGCAAAAACCAGCAACCACTAAATTCCTGAAATTATAATATTTATTCAGTCAGTAGTCGGTGTTGCTGGTTCACCAACCGCTTTCAAGACCAGTGTTAGATAAAGACTAGTAGAATGTAATGCAATCAACTTTAATAGCAATGTATTTGGGATGTTAGCAACTAGTCAACCAGACAACTAACTGTCACTATAATCTACCTAATAGAGCAGGGCGATATGACCAGAAATATTTATCATGATACATTTGAAAATTTGCCATAACGATATAACTGACACTAGACAAAATACTTTACAACTCCACAACTTTATTAGTGCAAAAAAAAACAAAACATCAATGTATTTTCACTTAAACAAGCAGCTGTTTTTTATGTGCATTAAAGTTATATAAAAATGTAACAGTGCAAATTCCTTGCTAACAGTTTAACCAAAAGGCATTTCCAGTGGAAACTGGCCGATATATCCTCAGCATAACCATGTATAATATCCACAAAACTTAAAGATGTTATACACACACAGTACGGTAATATTATGTTGAAGCACAGTACGTATCACTCCGCGAGGCTCCTGCCTACGATAGCCGTAATGCACCGACAATCCATCAAGCGGTGCGGGTTTGTAGTTTAGCAAAGTTGTACTAAAACATTTGACAGATTTTCGAGCGCCGTGTACATAAAATCGTTTCGAGGTCAGTAAACACAACCAGGATTCAAACATAAGGCACACGGGATTATAAGGGGCTCTGTCAATTTTCAGAAAAATCAAAGGATTGATTTTAAGTGTGCCGTATTTTCCAAACAACAGGGTAATAACGACGGCCCGCTAGCATGCGCTACCAAAAATAGTGCTTTGTTGTGTATCTGACGGACGAAAGCCAAAATAGTTCCACACCACTGAAGTTGCAACATTTTTACAAACCAGTTCTGGTTCATCCGTTTCATTCAACGATCCGCTTTCGCCCTTCTCATTCTCCGTCGCCGCCATGCTTTTTCCGCCATATGCGTATGAAAACAACGGCACTGCGCATGCGCATTTTACCCGTATTCTATCGCGATATTTCATTTTCTTATTATTGCTCAACATTATACCGGTATTACCGTGAACGGTATGATATGGCCCAGCCCTACTATCTGTTTTACATTTTAGATGCTGGTAAATTGTTGTGTCCTAAATGTTATGCAGCCATCTGCCACCAGATGGAGCATCGTCATTAAACACCATTAAACTGTTCATCTTTGCCTGATTTTTTGTCAACACTTTCATTTCTAGTTATATAAAGGTGAGAACAAGCTGCGAAAATGAGCTTTCTCATAGGTGTGAAAAG